GTCTCCAACCTCAAGCCAAGGGGATCTCATCCCATCGTTGATGTCTTTGACCATCCATCCACCACACAGCGTCAAGCCAAATTACAAAATGATCATCGGAACATCCGACCGCCAAATCTGCCCTCTCAATGGAATGCCGTTGGTCACAATCAGATACAACACTGAGGAGCTTCTCTTCGGATACAACAAAAATAAGGGAAAGCTCAGTTCCCACACTTGTGATGTCTGCGGACCATTGAGCAAAGAATCCAATCTCCAACCAGTCTACTCTGTGTTCCACGATCAGCGTTACGTAATCTTCGCCAGAAACCAAAAAGCTGGTACTGTGGACCAATATGTGTTCAATTCGGAGACTAGAGGATTGGAGCAAGTCAAAATCGATGAGCTCGTTTACCAAGAGGGCATCTGCTATCCATTCATGGCAATTGGATCCGAGAAAGAGTCCATTCAATGGGAAGGAAAACAGTGGAAGAAGCAGCAGTTGACTGCCAACGGATGGGTCAAAATCGAGCCAAAGCCAGTGATCACTTTGAAGACTTTGGAAACCGCTGACCACTCTTCGGATATGCTCGCTGAGCCAATGCGCACAATCTTCTGCCAACATTTCCAGAGAAACATTCTCATCGTCGGATCTCGCGTCTTCAGATTCAATGAGAACGAGCAAAGATTCGATAAGGTCCACCATTCGGCATGCATGAACAAGTTTTAATCAGCTACATGGTCATAGTCCAGCTCTCAGATTTCATCATATTATTCAATCGAAGCCATTCCTGGTAAGTTTCTTTTCCTATAGCTAGCAATTAGGGGCGGAGCCTATTTTTTGAGTTATAGAATTTTTTAGTTCAAATTTCAAAATTTCCGTTTTCCAGGTCCTCTACTCTCTTCTCTCAATCAACATCATCAATTAATCATCGCCGAAGTTGCCTCGTCATCCGGAATCTCATAACGAGTTCAATCTTTTATTCTACTCCATATTTAATCTTTTTTTTCAAATTAATTCGTTCAATCAAATCGTTCTATCAATACAGTCATTTCATATTGAAAGTTTTGTTTTTTTTAAATTTTGAAGCACAACAGTTCAGCACAGCCTCAAAACCTCAGTCTGAAGACAGCAAGTAGTCAGAACTTTCAATAGTGCTACCTCGATAAATTTTTCTAAACGAAAAAAAAACCGTTTCAGCTAGTCGTTATCAGTTTTTGGATTTCCAGAGTTGTTTGCTTGTTCATCGTTTGCAATCGATCAAAATTTTTCCTTTTCTTTAGGAAGGATTCCACCAGTTTCACTACTAGATTACAGTATCCTCATAGATCAACTAAAATTTCATATCGAATTTCGTAACAAGGTTCACATGAAATCCATAAATCTTCCATGTTGGGCTTATCACAAACTGAACTTTAGAAAAAAAAAAATTACTGTAACATTTAGCACATTAGTGATCAAGAAAGCGATTCATGTTGCTTGTCAGTATGCATTTCTTTAAATCTGGGTCCTATGAAAGTCTGTGAGCCGCCAGTTGTGTTGATTTCCGAGGCAAAGCGGTAAAAAATATTTCAGACTTTCGCGTCTTTTTCGAAAGTTTAGTTTGGTTTTTGGTAGGAAAACAGACTCTAGAGATGCTAGAAAGCATGTTTTCCAAGAGAAACACGAAATTCGGTTCGAAAAATAAAAAGCTTTTTTTCAACTATTGAATTTGAACATAGCGGAAAAAATCCGATCAATGATAAAATTAACTTGGAACGGAACATTTTAGAAAAGTTGACGCTGATCTACACAGCTCGTAATCACATTTTCATTACCATCGAAAGTTAAGAAAGCCGAGAAACGGACATCCAAGGCTTAAATAAAACTTGGCTTTCGAAAATTGTTTTGAAAATTGTAGGCAATATATCATTTGAATCTTCTGAAAATAGTCATTCTGAAACTGTGATATTTTAATATTTCTTTGCTATTAATTTTAAGACGAAATCAAATATTTCTGTTTTCTATCTATTAGAATAGATGTTCACTAATCCGAAAATGAGCAATTTTTGGTCTACACATTAAGATTATAATCACGGTTAAAAAAATTTCTGCGAAGTGGATTATAGTAATCTGAAATTTTACAAAAAAAAAAGATCAAATCATCTTCCCAAAATGATGTTTTTCAAAATATATCTATCACGAAACATAACTTTTTGCGGTTCATAGAAAGTTCACATAAAAAACGTTAAACTGAAAATTGTAAAAGAAAGGATAAGTCTAGTTTCATGATATGCTGAAAATATAAAACCACCTACCTGAAATTTCTTTGATTTCTGTTTTTCAAGCTGTCATTCTAGGAAACTAAAATAATAATAATAAGTTTACTGTTTCATGTGGTGCTGAAAGTTTTAAAATATAAGTCAATTTCAGTTCAACATCGTATTCCAGTGAATCAATTGACTGTATCCAGTCAAAAATTCACGGCAAATACTCATTAGGTTGATGATCTCTTGCTAAATGCTCACTTGCTAAATATGCTCATCTGCTAAACTCGCTCATTTGCTAAAATAGTCACACTTGCTAAATTTCATTTGCTAAATTTTGATCATTCGCTAAAAATGAAAAAGGGGAAATTTTGCTGTTATTTGCTAATTTCAGTACTTTTTGACTGAATTTTTTACAGAATATTCCGGTTTTTGCTTTAAATTTCAGGCTTAGGCTTTAACACCTGTTTTCCTGTAAAAAGTTTCAGCCTAAGCCTTCAATTTGAACAAGTCCCCTATTTAGCAAATGATCAAAATTTAGCAAATGAAATTTAGCAAGTGTGACTATTTTAGCAAATGTGAGCGAGTTTAGCTCATGAGCATATTTAGCAAGTGAGCATTTAGCAAAAGATCATCAAGCTAATGAGTATTTTCCAAAATTCACATCCCAAAATATAAATAATACGATACAGTAATTTTCAATTTTACAAAGCTCGAATTTCAATAAATGAGAATATTTAATTTTTCCTGTTTTGTAATAATTTGAAAATACAGTTAAAAATTATTCTCGTTTATGTTCTTTCAGATTTATGTCCGACCAAACAATTCATAACTCAAAAACTTAATTTTTTGAATTTTTTAGCAGTGATATTCAAAAATTTTGTTAGATTTTTTCCAGTTTCACATTATGCTGAAAATGTAAACCTATGACTTGTTTTTTGACCCAGTTTAACCATATACTTGTGTTCCAAATTTTCGAAATTTCGAAACAGAAAACATTCATTTGATTCCTCCCAGGAATAAAAAAAAAGTTCCTTTATGAACAAATCACGTTTTTCAGATTTTCTTATCACTAACCAAACTGTTTTACAAACCTAATAAAAATTCCTCATAATAATGTACTTTTGTGGTTTAACTTATGACGATAATTGAACAAATAAATGTTGTAGTTTCTGAAACTTGAGAAGTTTGGCATTTAATAGAACATAATAATACGTAGGTGAATTCTTACCATACAAATATCACAGTTAGCGTTCGAAATCGGGACGCCCGCTTTCGCTGGGCGACCCATTTTAGGGGACGGGGGACGGTCGTCCTCAGCCCTTTTTTCGGGGACAGTACCAAATCACTAACATAGAGTCATAAATGAAATAATTCTTACATTTTTTTGGAAATCATTGTAAAACTAATTTTTTTTTGAAATTCGCATCTTTTGTAGAAATTTGGAAAATCAAAATATCTGTTTCATATTCGTTTTATTTTTGAAAACAACTTTTGAAAAAGATTAACTGTTACGTTTTTTCCAAAATTGCAAGCCAAAAGAAGAGTTTCAGCAAAAAATAATTCTCGGAAAATCCAAAAAAAAAAACATACAATTGTCACAAAAGGGACACAAATGTTTCCAATGGCAGCAAAAAGGTTGAAATTCGAAAAAGGTGTAACTTCATTGTAATCATTTTTTGAAAATTGCCATACATATGAAGCGACGAATCAAAATCAGAATTCACAGAAAATTAAAGTCAACATCTTGAAACAGGTATTTTTGGTAATTGAGAAAAAAAAAGGAATTTCAAATGTTCAGTAAACTCTGGATTAGTACTGGATCAGTGCGATCCAAGAGTGAAACAGAAAAAAAAACGTCTGACAAGCAAAACAAAACTAACTTCCAAAAACGGAATCCCATTTCCCATCCTTTGTCGTCGTCTCAAACAGCTTACATTGAGCTTACAGTTTTTTTCAGAAATTCATTTAAATTTGAAACAACATAGTCATGGTCATATTCATTTTAAGCTCTATGTGCGTTCAGCTGAAAACAACGGTTTTCTTTGTTTTGACAAAAATTGATCAAGTTATGGGCAGTTTTCTCGAGTATAACGCGTTACGGACCCACAATACACATTTTCAAACTTATTATTTTTGTGTTTAATGTGGTTGAAAAACTCTTCAAATTGTTTTTTTCTTGTTCGCGACCTAATTATTTTACTAGACCACGACCAAGTTTTTTCTAGGACATGACCTAATTTTTTAAGGCAGTGACCTAATTTTTTCTAGGTCATGACCATGGCCTAATTAGATCCAGCTCATGACCTAATTTTTTTTTATGTCATGACCTAAATTTTTCCAGGTCATACCTTATTTTTTTTAGTTTATGACCTAATTTTTTTCCAGGTAATAACCTAATTTTTCCTAGGTCCCACCTAGTTTTTTCTAGATCAAGGACCCAGGACCCTTGCCGGATCCCCCAGAGAAAGCGAGGACTGATTGTTCCTTTCAATTCTCTCTTTTTTATAGTATTCTGCCAGAGGTCAAGGGGGCATTCAGAGCCGTGGGTTTCTAAACTAATTCACGTAGTTGTTTTGGTTTAGATTTTTTTGTTTCGAAATTTTTTTTTCCATGGCGTTCTAATAACACTTGAATTTTCACTTTTGAAATCTGTGAAACTGAAACTTTTTTTGATATATTTCACAGGTAACTGACTCCTCTCTGTGAAACACTTTTTCTTTTTGACTCAATTTATCTACCTCCCAGCGAGAAGTATCCAAAAGTGGTGAACTGATAAAATACTTATCACCTTATTAAGAACATTTTATTGGTTGACCAATTTTTGAGATATTTGATACAAACCGAGATAAATTGCCTCAAAGTTGACAATGAAAATATTCCAGCAACAAAACCTTTATTTTTGTTCAAAAATGCTGTCCAAAAAGTTTGAGAAGTTACACCCGAAAGCAAAAAAATGCTCTTCTGTTTCGTAACATTTGACGTGAACTGGAAAAAAGCGGTTTCGGAAATTTGAGAAGTTTGGTGTTTAATAAAACTGAATGATTTCAATGGGATGATGTTAACCACATTATCGAAAAAATGGGTCAGATTTTATCCTATTTTTCACATGAACCGAGATGAATTAGTTCAAAGTTGACAACAAAAATTCCATCAATAAAATTTTTATTTGTTTCAAACACACTGCCCAAAAAGCGCTAAATACCAGAAAAAAGCTTTGAGAAATTACACCCGCCAACAACAAAGAACAATTGAGTTATACATAATTTTCGTTACATACAGAAAGAAATGATTAGAAATTGTGCATCATTGCATTAATTGCATACGTGAAACCAACTCCAGCAGTAATACCAAGCACCAGGGAAAGGGCAGACACTTGACCAGCCAGTTTGGAGTATTCCGGTGGGCAGACGCTGAAAATTTGACTTCCATGATTTTTGATTTTCAGAAATTTCACAATTTCAGGTTCATCTTTTAAAGATTAGATTCCTAACACTAACATTGCTCGTAGGAATTCACTATCAAAAATTTTTTCTTAACCTTTTAAAGTTATTTCATCCAAACTTGTTATATTTAAATGGTGCGCCTTCGGCGCGGTTCAATTCTGTTTTTTACTGGTTCGTGGCTCCGCTACTCAGTTATTCTAAAAGGGTCACGAACATTTATATTTAATTTTCAAGCTTTTCGAAAGTTTACAGACTGAAATGAGGACCGACAGACGCCTCTAGCGTTTTATGTATAGTGAAGATCTACGATTCGTCATTTCCCAATTTTTCCAAACTCACCGCGGCGCATACATCATTCCCAATGATGAAAAATATCCACTTGTGAATGCCATGATTGTATTTCCAAAGAAGAAAATCCATTCGTTGCTATATAAAACTGGCATGGATCGATCATTGGGAAAACAGTTTCCAAACATGAAGAATGGGATGAAGACGAGACGAATCAGACATGGAACGATTAGGAGACGAGGTCCTGGCTGGAAATTGCGAAGATGAGGACAGAGTTCGATTTTTGTAGTAGAAACAATGAGGGAGTATCAATGAAATAACTTTTCAATTCTTAAAAAAAATTGTGAAACAGAAATTTTTCATTTTTGAAATTTGAATTGTAGAAATTTAGAAAACCAAAACCTCGGTTTCATATTAGTTTTATTTTTGAACGCGCTCATTGGGAAGATTAACTACTGCACCTTTCTAAAAATTTCAAACCAAAAGACGAGTTTCAGCAAAAGTATAATTTTCAGAAAATCCAACAAATCCAACTTACAATTGTCACGAAAGTGGCACAAACGTTTCCAATGGCAGCGAGAAGATTGAAATTCAAGAAAGTCGTAATTCCATTGTAGACATTTTCTGAACATTTAACAATTTTATGAACAGACAGACCCAAAACTGACGTATTGAATTCAGAAATTACAGAAAGTAGAAATCAACAACTTGTAACTGGTTTCTTTTTGATATTTTTTTGAATCTTTGGAATTAGTGCCAATTTCCTCCGAAAATAAAAACAAGCACCTTGAAACAGGTGAAAATTTATGACGAAAAACAAAGAAACTCACTTCCAAAAACGGAATTCCATTTTCCATCTTTTGTCGTCGGCTCAAACTCGACCAAAACTGTTGGAAAAACGGACAGCGTCACAAAATATGTAAGGAATACACAGAGACACTGGAGCCAGCACTGAAAAAACGGAAAATTTGATTGCTCATTCCTAGATTTGGATGCTTACATTAAGCTGGAAGTAAGCTTAGAGTACCCCTACAGTAAGTTTGCAGTAGGCTTGCAGTAAACTTACATTAAGCCAGTAAGCTTACATTAAGTTTAAAGTAACCCTACAGTAAGCTCGCATTAATCTTACAGTAAGCTTACTGTAACCCTACATCAAGCTCACAGTAGGTTTACAGTAACCTTACAGTAAGCCTACATTGAGTTTACAGTAAGCTCACAATAATCCTACGTCTAGCTTGCATCAAGCTTACAATAACCCTGAAGTGAACCTACGGTATGCTTACAGTAACCGTAACAAAAGTGAACTAACATATTTAAATGTCTCCAAATATTGCCTGTAGTCGAATGAAGAATTTTCTTGAGCAGCTCTTGCTCGGTTTCCTTTGGCCACATGATAGTTGAAGAAATCCTGAAAAACGATAACACCTGATTTAAAAATCCTTTCACTGTCAGACTCACCTGTCGCTTACAGAACCACCAAGAAATGAGACAAACAATCAGAATAGCCAAAGAAATTGAGAAATAAAGGATAGCAACAGTTTCAGGGTTATTCGAGAAAGAGACAGTGGCTACAATGGCGAGAACACTAGTGAATGTTCCACAGATGTTGGTTCCAATAACCACTGCATTTGAATATTGGGCAGGGAAATCTGCAGCAAGTCCGAAGAATGAGTTTTGGTAGAGACCGTTGGATCCGTTCATCGCCATGATGATGATGAGGGAGACAATGTAGAACCAGTTTCGCGCTGGAAATAAAAGACTCTGTAAAATTGAGACAAGAGAAGCTCCTTAAGGGTTTGGCCTCGTGGGCAAACAGATATTGAGCCACTATTAACTAAGCTGCGCGGTCACATGCTGGTTTGACAATATTATTCGTGCGGTTGTTCTCATTAGTTATCGATGGAAGGCTACCAGTCGCGCAGATGATTTTTAAAGGTGGAAAACAACATTCTAAAAAAATCGAAATTCAACATTCACTGTTCCAAGTAGGGTTGGCAACGGGGCTCCCGCTTTTACGCGGGAGCCCCGAAAGCGGG